CCCTGGAGAGCAACGCTCGAAGCTGACTTGGTGGTGGTGGTGCGATTGAGGTTGATGTCGTCTTGCGGATCATGCACGTAGCCTTCCTTGGATCGGGAGGCTTGGCGTATCAGCTGTTCATCCTTTTCGTCGATGGCTGCCGCCTCCTCGGGGGTCATCTCGTTCACGGCGGCAATGTTCTGGGCGGTGACGAGATTGTAGTAGGCGGCGTTCAGTTCAAGAAGCTCGTCGTGAGTTCCCTGCTCGACAATGCGACCTTCGGACATGACGACAATATTGTGAGCGTCACGGATTGTTGAAAGTCGATGAGCAATGGTAATCGTGGTGCGACCTTCGGCGGCGACCTCGAGGGCAGCTTGTACGACGCCCTCCGACTTGGTGTCGAGGGCCGAGGTGGCTTCGTCAAGGAGAAGGACTATATCATGTTGTCAGTTCTGAGAGGCTTCCGAAAGCGGTGCAGACTGGAAGAAGCAACTTACTCTTGGGGTCAGAGACAATGGCACGAGCAATAGCAATACGCTGCTTCTGGCCGCCAGACAACAGGAAACCGCGCTCGCCGACATTTGTCTCGTATCCCTCGGGAAGGCTAGTGATGAAATCATGGGCATTGGCCTTCTTTGCAGCTCCGATGACAAGCTCACGCAACTTTTCTTCAGACTCGTTCTCATGCTGGGTACCGATGAGGCCATGACGAATGTTGTGGAAGATGGTCGTGCCAAACAACGTTGGTTCCTGGCTCACAAGGGCCATCTGCTGGCGAAGCCATCTGAGGTTGAGCTTGGCGATATCATGTCCGTCCAGGTAGACGGATCCCTGGACGGGGTCATAGAAGCGCTCGACAAGTCCAACAATCGTACTCTTACCAGAACCCGAGGCGCCGACCAAGGCAGTCGTCTTGCCGGCGGGAATAGTCAGGGAAACGTCCTGCATGACGACGACCTCGGGCCGCGAGGGGTAAATGTGCTTGATGCCCTTAAGCGTGATGGTGCCCTCCAGCTTCTCGAGCTTGTCGCCGGTGTCAAGAGAAGGATCCAGGGGCGACACGCGGTCGATGGTGTTGTAAATCTTGGCGGCGGCAGCGACAGCTGTGGAGAAAGCTTGGATATTGGGTGCAACGTTGCCAACATTGAACGCACCGATCATGACCGACATCATGATAATCAAGACAGCGCGAAGGTCCACCTCGCCGCTCAGGATGTAGGTACTTCCCATCCAGAAGGCTAAGCCGTAGTTGAGGTACAAAATGCACATCATACCAGCGACCATGCAGCCGATGGCTCCCTTGACTCGGAAGCCGAAAAATTCGGCCTTGACGAGATGGACATCGTACTGCTTGGCCAGGCGGTCTTGGGTGCCAAACGCGATGGCATTTCGGATGGAGCTAATGACCTCGTCGGCCAAGCTGCCACCCTGGGCGTACGAGTCAATGGACTGTTTGTTGAACTTCATGATGAATGTCGAACCACTGCCCATGACGAGGACGAGGGCGACAACGGTCGAGAAGAGGATGAGAGTCAGCTTCCAATAGAAGATGAAGCCGATGACGAAGGCGGCGATGAACGTGGCGAGTGCGGCAATGGTCAGCGAGACCTTCTCGGACATGCCGTCCTGGATCAGGTTGGTGTCGGCCGTGATGCGCGTTGTGACCTCTCCGGAGCCGAGGTTGTCGAAGAAGCCAATGTTCTGGCGCATGCAGCTCTCGAGATAGTGAATGCGAATCTGGGCACTGATGTGCTCACCCGTGTAGATGAAGCCGACGGTCGAGATGTAGCTGACGACGAATTCGCCGATGGCCAGATAAACAAAGTACAAGACTAGCTTGGCAAGCTCGTCCGTGAAGTCGTCATAGGACATACTCCGGTGGACGAAGTAGTCCTGGAAAACATTCTGCAGATTGCCGAAGATGACAGTCATGAGCGGCAGGGCGGCACCTGCAGCAATGGCACAAAGGGTGGAGATGACAATGATGATGATGTCGTTGGTCGAGGAGTACCTGTAGAGCGCCGCCACGCCCGCCTTGACCTCGGGGGTGATGATCTGGCGCTTCAACACGGCTGCCTCGTCGTCAGGTAGGTGCTTAAAGGGATCCTCTTGGGATGCGGCCTTGGGCGGGGTCGCAACCTTGCTGTCGGCTTTCTCGAGGTCATTCTTGTCGGTAGCAGCCTTCTCGTTGGTGTGTGAGTGCGCTTCTATTTCCGTCGAGTCCCCTTGCGAGGAAGCGGTGCCGCTCGCGATGGGCGGCTTTTCTGGTGGTGGGTTGGACATGGTAAGAGATGGGAGAGCTGGGAGAGCCTCGCAAGCTCGCGCAGCTTGGGGGAAGGTTCGAACTGGAGGGAACTATTCGCAGCGGCGTCGAGTCACCAGAAGCTTCTGCTGCAGTAGTTTTTGGTGATCGCAAACGGGTTGGACTGTTCTCGCGTGGTGATGTCTCAGGCTCACGTTTGGCGCATCGGGAAGAATGAGATCGGAGGATGCTTCACCCAAAGCGGGACGGGACCTCTGTCGTTGTGCCGGCAGTCGTAGCTGGTGTTCTTATCGCTTTCGTTCCAGTGTTGTGTTCGTGGCAGAAAACTGGTCAGTCATCTGCAAGTTGCCCAAAAAGAGAACGAACAGGTCGATGCAAAAGGAAGGAAAAGTGCTTTGAAGCTGGGCAGGGGACCACATGGATCTGCGTTGGTGGGATGAGATTGTTGTTGTACTTGTAGCGACCGAGGCAACTAATAGCTCGCTGCTGCTGCAGGTGGAATTTGTGCTGGTCAACGGCAAGGGATCTTGCCGATGTTCCGTCCACTCTGTGGCGGGGCTTAATCCCGGTCCCAGATGCACAGCGTCTTGTGGTTGCACGTCGGTGCTTCCTTCTGGAAAAGCAGCGCCTCTTGGTAGCGGTTCCCTCGTTTACGCCCGAACCGGGGGTACAAGATGGGGACTCGGCCGGAGAGGGCAGGGGCGCCCGGCCAGCTCGTTCCACACGGCCTGACTCCCTCGCCGTGTCAGCACAGCAGCAGCAGATACGTATCGAAGGTACTAACTACCCAAGTTCATAGGCTAAACCGAAAGATTACACCGATGCGATTGGTAGCCAGCATCAGTCCCCCTCCACTTCGAAGGGTCTCACACTTGTGCATTTTTTTTTTAGCTGCTCAGGACACCCACCACCCACCATCCACCACCAAGCCTGCGCCTCAAGTATGGCAACATGTCACGCTGGTGTCTCGTCTAGCATTGCGTCAGCTCCCTTTTGCTGTCTCTGCCATGTTATCATCGCCAGACCATACGTCCAGACCATACGGCGGCCGTCATCATCGGCGAGAGATCCTATCGACAAACATTGCGGCACAGCATTGGGTGAGTCAACGGAAGTAGCGGCTCCCAGACGACATGCATCAGGATCATTCGCGTCCTCCCATCGCAGCAACGTCCATTGCAGCAAGGTAGTGTGATCAGGTACCTTGGGGTAGGGGATTCATAGGGGGGGAAATGACCCCAACCCAAGTGGTATTGTCTTACCGCGCCTCGGGCCCTTCAACGCCCCGAGGCCCACCCCGCCGAGTTTGAGTCTATTGGACACCTTGACCGTTGCGCCGCGGGGCCACGCGCCGTCACTGATTTCACTCCGAGTTGTCGTCGCTTAATCACTGGCACAAGTCAGTCGCCCCGTTCGCGGCGCACCCCTTCCGGCAATGGCTTGCCGAGTGGCCTGGCCTGCTGCTGCGCTGCTCCTCGTGCTGCTGCTGCTGCTGCTGCTGCCTGGTAAGATTGACCCGTTCTTAAACGACTACCTCGTAGGTACCTTGTTACCTTGGTGGGGGGGCAGGGCAACGCGTGCATGCGTGGGTATGTGGATTTTGTTTCTGATGCACAGCTCGTAACTACGACGGCTCTTACGAGTAAGATCATGTGTGTCGTGTCGCAATGATTTGGTCCTTCGCCCCTGTGCTTTTACACTTTTTGGTTTTTGTTTCGCCTTTGCTGCCTGTTTGTTCAAAGCCCCCATCTCGGACTCGCATTCGCTGGGCTCGGATCCAGGTCGAAACCCCATACCATGTACTAACGCCGACTAACCCCATCTTCGTCTTGTCGCGTCGCATGTCTCCGGCCATCATATGCGAGAGCCAAGCTTTTCGCTTGGCCTGGGGTCTCCATCTGTCGCAGTCCACTATGCACGATGCATGGCACAAGGAGTGGATCTCCATCTCCAAGCGTTGACCCTCAGGATTTCCCAATGTGGTCGCCGATAACGAGGTCCATCCCAAGTCCGAAGTGAACGCTAGGGAGATTGTGCTCAGTAGCCTTCGGTGGGAGGGGCGTTCATCCAGACATTGAGGGGAGTCTAGGAAAAGCCATGGTCTCACTGAACAAACTGAAATGATTTTGTCTCGAGGCTTTGGTTCAAAGGGCAAAGTGACAGGTGTTTCGGGATTTCCTCCCAGAAGACGAGGACCAATCGCACGCCATGCAGTTCCTCGACACAGGCTATGCCAGTATCAATAGAGCACATCGCATCGGCGCCTTCACTGCGTCTGTGTCGGGATGAGATTTCTTGCCTCACGTCGTCGAGATTGCGCTGTGGCTGACACGTGGCGAGATCTGGTTTAGGTGGCGTTGGCCCCACCTACAGTCGGATTTGCCTCCAGCTCCAGCTGGAGTCCTACCTGAACAGAAGTAAGCTTCTGAAGCTATTCGGTTAGGCTTCAGCTACCAACACGTACTGACGTCTCTTCCACCCGTCTCTAGGCTTTTGCCACGCTAAGGGCTGATGGCAATCTGTCCTCTCTCGAAGAAACCTATCTGAACCGCCAATACCCTACAGCCTCGAATGGTGACGACAACCCAAAGTACAACTTCTGAACATCTTTTCGAGGGCGCTGCATACGTCATGCACTGAGCCCAGTCTGCGTGCTGCGACTTGACGACGACGGCGTTTGCCTACCTACACGCACCGAACAAACCCAAAAGAAAAAAAACCCCTGTCGAACCACACGATCAAACACGCCCTCAAAATGCGATCCGAGGCCATCTCCGCCCTCCTCCTGCCCCTTCTCTTCTCCCTTCCCGCCGCAGCAGCCGCCGCCAAACCGCCCAAGAACGCCATCCTCCTCTCCCATGTCAAGACGCTGACGCTCCGCGGCGACGGCGCCCAGACGACGCACCGCCGCCTCCCCGCCGTGCCCCAGCTCAAGTGCCTCTCGGCCCCGAAGCTCTGCGCCCTGCACCCGATCGACGTCCTGCGCTGCACGAACCAGGGGTCCGGCTACGACGCGGAGGACATCCAGTGGTCCTGCGCCGCCAACCTGCCCGTCGACCTCAAGCTCGGCAGCACCGACGTCCTGTGCGAGGGCTACAGCTCGGCCGACGACCCCTACGTCCTCAAGGGGAGCTGCGGCGTCGAGTACCGCGTCGTCCTGACCGACGAGGGCGAGAGGCGCCACCCTGACCTCGCGGGCGGGAACGGCGGATGGGGCGGCGGCGCGGGCGGCGCGTCGGCGCTGCCGGGGTTTCTGTTCATGGTGCTCTTCGTCGGCGTCTTTGCGTGGATCGTCTACTCGGCGTGCGTCGCGCAGGATCGGAACAGGAGGCTCGGCGTGGACGGCCAGCGGCGCGGCTGGGGTGGTGGTGGTGGTGGTGGAGGAGGACCTGGCGGTGGATGGGGCGGAGGCTGGGGCGGCGGCGGCGGATGGCAGCCGTTCAACAATGACGACGATCCTCCGCCACCGTACCCTGGCGCGAAGCCCTCGTCGAGCAACCAGCAAGGCCAGGGTTGGCGGCCAGGCTTCTGGAGTGGACTGGCTGGTGGTGCAGCGGCTGGGTACCTGGCAGGCGGCAGGAACAACAACAACAACAACAACCGCAACGATAGGAGGACTGGCTTTGGCGGTGGAGGCTACGGCACCAACGACGGTTACGGTTGGGGTGCTGGCCCCTCGAGGACTTCTTCAGGGTCCAGCTCATCAGCGAGACATGAGAGCACTGGCTTCGGGTCCACAAATAGGAGATGAAGCTGCTTGCTTCCCACGTCGTGCTGACTGGTCAGCTGGCATCACCATCCTAGATAGCTTTCGCATATGGCAACACTGGTTGGTATTGCTCGATTCTACGTCTAGTCGGAACAATGTTCCTACAACGATGCGCGTCTTGCGAACAGCGACGCTGCCACAATGCATCCACTCTCTCGCCGGACCTATCCGTAGGCCGCCTCGAGAGCACATCCGCGGATACATATGATACAGGTAGAAATACACAGCCAGCCCTTTCCAATCGCGGTAGTGGAGTGAGTGGCCTTGCTCTTGCGCGACCAGAAAAGGTATCATCCGTGGAACACCAAACCCCAGAACACCCAAACGCCCTTGAGTTGGTTGGCGAATAAGCTGCCCCCCTGCCCCCGCTTCCCTTCGTTTAATGCAGGATCCAATCGAACAAACAGAAAAAAGCCAACGAGCTTTCGCGAGTCTCGTCCCTCGTACGTTTCTAGTGGTGAACAGACAACGAATCCTTGCGATCAAAGGACGTGGCGCAGGTTGGGCACTTGCGCATGCGGTTGCTGATGCGATCGTCGATGCAGGACATACAGAACAGGTGACCGCATGTCTTCAGGACAGTATCTTTGAAGTTGTTCCGGCAAACTGAGCAAAGCGCATACGACTGGCGGCTGGGTTAGCATATTCTAAGAGGGAGAAAAGGGGGCATGGCGAAAACATACTCGTAGCATCTCCTCTTCTTCCGAAGAATTGCTCAATGCCTTGCGCTTCCAGTCCTCCTTCTCCTTCTTGATGAACTCAACCCTCGCTTTGAGTCGTTCGAGCTCTGACTCCTGAGACGTGGCGCGCTCTCTTGTGCTCGCAGTGGCTGCGTCTTTCGCCTTGATTTGGTTCGCCAATTCGTTGACTTGGGCCTTGTATGCATCGGCTCTCCTGATCGACTCTACACTGTTCGCCTCCATCTTCTTGTGTTCAGCTGCCAGGTTCGCATTTGCCATCCGAAGATCCGATAGCTGCTTCTCCAAGTTGCTGATCAACACTCTATGCTGAGCCTCCACTTCCTTGAGCTGTGTGACGATTTCCGAGGTCTTTCTGTTTTGGTTTCGCAGCGCAAGCAGTTCACGGTCCCGAAAATCAGCGTCTTTGCGAACAGCGAAATACTTGGAGTCAACCTTTTGCTTCTCGGCTAGCACCGCAGCAACCCGATCCTCTAGGGCCGAAAAGTCCATGACCTTCTTTTGCGCCAGCGTCATGGATCGCTTGTACGCCTGTTGGAGCGCTGGCAATTCCTTGTTGATCGACTCGAGATCAGCCTGGAGTTTCCGGTATTTCGTCAAGAGTTCCTCTACAGGAAGGCTGTCGATGGCTGGGTCGGCATCGGCCATAGGTCGGTCCTCGTCGGGTTTGACTCGCTGCAGCTCGAGTTCAAGGGCTGTGATGCGATCGTCCTTTGCGCCTGCCAGCTCCTGAATGTGTTGCAGCGCCGTCTTCTCCTCCTTCTGGCTCGCCTCCAGCATGCTAGCCTTTGCGAACCACTCGTCTCTTGCGGCTCTTAGACGTGTGACATCTCCCTCGCGCTCCTCGACCTGGCGCTCAAGGTCGGCAATGTGTGTTTGCGCTTCGTCGTTCAGTTTACTTCGGAAGGCCTGTCGTTCGAATTGCAACCTTTCAGATTCTTCTCGCAGTTGCTTGTTGGTCGCTTCTAGGTGATTGATCCGCTTGATCAAGTCCTCGTTTTGCGCTTTGAAGGCCTTGAAGACGTCGGTTCGAATGTAGTCCTCATCCGACACGCCTTCACGTTGCGTTTTCAGTGTCGAGTTCTCCTCCTGCAAGGCTGCAAGGTCTGTCTGTGCAGTCTCTAGTTGCTCCTTCTGTTTGACGAGGACCGCCGATGCTTCCTCCAGCTTCAGCAAGGTCTCAGCAGCATTCCCGTTCAGGGCAGCAGCTTCGGCACCGTTCTCGCCTGCCGTGCCCCCTTGTGTTGCGTTGGCGAGAAACTGCTTCTCCAGCTTTTGCACTTGTGCGCTCTTCAACCTCTTTTCCCGTCGCTCAGCTTTGAACCATTCAAGAGTCTTCTTGTTAAGGTCCTCCGAAAGCTGCTGGTTCTCATGCTGAGAGCGATCGAGCTGAACAAGATAATCTTTTTGCTGGGCGAGCAGGGCATTCACTCTATTCTCCAAATCGGCAATATTCGGCGTGATTTGTCCACGCGACGTCGCAATCCGATTAATGACAGCCTCAGCCCTCTCCCGCAGCGTCTTGGTTTTGTCGTTGAGATGTTCCTGAAAAGTCGTGCTGTCTTTAAAAGTAGTACCTGTAATGTAAGGTGGTTCTGCGGTCAAGTTAGACAGGGCTATCGGGGAGGGGGCGTTCGGCACGACGAACCTGTTGGTCCTGATGGCGCTGGCAGTGCCGGGTTGACGAGCAATTCCATTTCTTGTAGCACCTGAAGGGGACGGTCAGCGCCGATGACAGGATATCGCAGATGAGCGCAACACTGACCTGTTCCCACCATATTTCAATCAATCTTATTTGGTCGTCGCGATGGGCTACATGAGTTTGCAGCTTATCAACGCGACCTTCCAACTCAGCCTTATCGCGCTTGGATTCCTGGAAGGCTCGCCAGATGGCTCCCTTCTGGTAATTCTACGGCCCGAATTAGCGTTTCGTCTTTGCAGCGAGTTTCCGTCGGGAGTCGATGATGAGATGGAGGGCCACGAAGCGGTGAGTCTGTTGAACAGGCCACAAAGGCTGCTGCTGACAGGTGGGTCCCGAAAAGACTTTGAGCTCGTGGTCGCGTGCCATCGCGTAGTTCCAAGGGGGTGGGGGGAAAGAGGGCAAAGTCAAGTCTGCGACAAAGTATCGCAGGCACATGGCTCGTCCCAGGGAAATAGTTGACAAGAGGGGAGGAGCGGTCCGGTGACAACTTACCTCGATCCAATGTTCTTCTGACTGCTCGCCGGTATCGCCTTTCGACTTGTTGCCATTGACGCTTTGATGACGCTTGCTGGGAGGCGCAATGTCATCAGCGCCGCTGATGGCTGGTCGCTTTCGATCTTCCATCTTGGTCAATGATGACGGCCGGGGCGAGGCAGGCTTGATGGCTACAGGCATGGGCGAAGTCGCGAGGGGCGGCGAATCATGGAAGGGGTGAGAAAGAGGCTGGGACGCGACTCCAGGGGGCTCAAGGAATCGACAAGAGAGCGAGCGCGACGTCTGTCCGGAGGGTGCCGAAGAGATTTGGAGGCCCCGAAGAGTGTCGTGATGGGAGCAGGCTGGCCTCGGTCGTGGAAAGGCTGAGGGGGGAACGTTGCCTCGCTGGCAAGAGGAGTTGAATTTTCGAGGTTCGACGCCTTCACTCGAAGCAAGAGGAAGCGCGGTCCCCTTCTGAAAGGGGGTTAGCGTGGCGCTAGCCCTTTCGAGCCTCGTCATCTTATCGATGCACGTGCGGTAGTCGGACCCCGCACAGGTGCGTTCAGGCGGCTAAGCTTCGGTCTTTTTTTTCGTTCTCTGGCGCAGCCTGGCTGGTCTAGGTTGTCCCCCCCCCACTGATTGCTTCTGCTCCTGCTTCTGCATCGCTGCTCCTTCCGAAGCCAAATCTTTTTTGTCCGCCTCCAAAGCATTCCAGATCGGCTGGCTCCCTTCAACAATCTTTTCCACCTCCCCCCTCTCATGCAGCCTCTTTGAACTCTGATTGCGCGCTTGATTCTTCACCAGCATACACTTGACACGGCTTTACATCTAGATCTGCCATGTAGCAGCGACGACGAGACCCGCCACTCCCCACCACCATCTTACATCTATCGCCGTCGTAGCTTTGTGATCGCCAACCGCCACCATGAGTTCGATGATGAAGAAGAAGACGGGCAAGGGCTTCAAGCCCACAGCCAGGCCCCGCGTTCCCGGCGCATCGCAACCCGCCAGACCCTTCGCCGACACACCACCCGCGCCTGCGACCTCCCAAACACCCGCACCCACCACAGAACAGGACGCCTCGCAGAGCGCTATGCCCTCGACAACTCGAGAACCTCTGCTACAGCCTGGACAGTCAGAAAATGCGCCCTTGTCTACAAGCCCGAAAACTGGGGACAGTACAGCCGACCCGACACCTACCGGTACAACACCAATATCGGTAGATAACAGCAGTTCCTTGGCTTCGATCAAATCCTCGCAGGCCACCACCACTGCTGTGAAAGTTTCCTCCTCGACACCCTCAGCCGCGACGCGTCAGTCCGGAAGCGCGGGTGCGACCGCGGCAGATGCCTCCCAACCCATCCCGACCATAGAGATTGCGCCCCCAGAAGGAGATGATCAGTCTTCGACAGAACCAACATCTGCGACAGGCAGCGCCAAGAAGCAGACACCCGCCAAGAGAGTAGCTGGCAAGCGCGCAGCTGTTTCGACGGAGGACGAAAACGGCGAGGCCGCCGAATCTGAGACGAGCCCAGATGGCGAAGCCGCAGGTCCGAAAAGGCGACGCCCAACAAGAAAGATGGGCGCGACGCAGGATGGGGAAGCCGCGGCACGGCAGCCTCGGAAGAGGAAGCAGCCGTCGGCGGAGGGGGCCGAAGGGGACGCCACCGGCGCAGAAACCCCCGCGCCCAGGAAGCGGCGAGAGCGATCGGCGACGCCGGACGACGCAGACCAGCAAACCGTGGATCCCAGCGTGCTCACTCTGAAGGACCTCACGGTGGACCTGCGCATCGGCAAAAAGTTCAAGCGCTACGACGAGATCCTGCAGCGGGAGCGCGAGAAGCAGGCCAAGATTGCGGCGGCCAGGAGACAGCGGGCGCTCAGCAAGAGCGGCCGGGGCGTCAGCGTGGACCCGTCTGAACCATCGGGCACGCCGCTGCCGGGCATCGACAAGGAGGACTCGACGCCGGCGCCGGTGCCGGTGCCGGTGGCGCCAGCGCAGTCGCAGCTCGACTCGCTGGGCCCCCAGTTCATCGAGGTGGACGGCCAGATTGTGCTCGACCAGCGCTCGCTCCAGGTCGACGCCCACGCGCGCGCCGAGCAGCGCGACCTCGCCGAGGGCATCACGCGCGAGGAGCAGGAGGAGCACGACTTTAGCCACCACGTCACGAGCAACAGCTTCCTGCCCAAGACGTCCAAGATTCGCGGCCCCAACATCTGGAACGAGGAGGACACGGAGCTCCTGTACCGCGGTCTCCGCATGTTCGGCACCGATTTTCAGATGATCTCCGCCATGTTCCCCGGCCGCACGCGCCGCCACGTCAAGATGAAGTTCAACCGCGAGGAGCGCCTCAACCCGACGCGCATCCACGCCGTGCTCGTCGGCGAGAAGACGGTCAAGATCGACCTGCAAGAGTACAAGCAGTGGACCAAGCGCAAGGAGGAGTTTGTCCCCACCGAGACCATCATGGCCGAGCAGCGCAGGGCCAAGGCCGAGTTTGACGCCGCGCAAAAGGCCAAAGAGGACGAGAAGAAGGCGGCCATGGAGGAGAAGCGCAGGAAGCTCTGGGCCGATGGCGAGGAGGAGGGCGCCGCCGATTTGGCCGCCGAGGAGGAGGAGATTCGCAAGAAGAAGAAGGGCAAGAAGAAGCGGAAGAAGGACGATCTCGCCATGTACGGCGAGATTGTCGAGGAAAGTCTGGCGTAAACGGGGCTCGTAAGATCAATGGGCGTTTGGTTCGGGTGCGTTTGATGAATCATGGGGTTCTGGGACAGGATGGGGATGGGCAACGACATGGATCGATAATGATACCCCTTCCTTCGGTTATTGGGGTCTCGTTGGGGAATATAAACCGGCCCATAGCTGAAGTGACGGTAGCAAGGCGTTAGAAGCAACGGCTCGAAAGACACTTGGTGTCAAGCAATGGGAAGCTTCGTTCACACACTCGTGGTTGGCTTCATGCGAACGTCAAAATGGCAATACTGGCTCACAGGCCAAACCTGTGCTGTTACGAGATTGATTTTGGCCCTCGTTGGGGAACTAGTTCATCGCCTGGGGCGATCAATGCTCGGGGCGCTCTCGTCGTTGAACTGAAATCCTCTGTATTCTCATGTCTCGTAAGGCGACTTCAACGCCTCTGTGGCCAACATGCTGAAGCCTCGAAAGCCTCCTCATCCGCATATACAGCGTCCCCGTGTGGAACCGGGCTGACATGGCTGAAAGCCTTTCCTCCAGGTATCCTATAGCTACGACCTCCGGAGGATTTTTTTGCTCCCCCGTCACGACATCCTCCCATCATGATTCATTCGTTGAGAAAAAAAAGGCAACATTTTCATTTGCTTAGTTGCCCTGTGGTCTGTCATCATCGTCCTCGGGCTGGTCGAACAGAAAGTTCGCCGCGAGCTCCTCGTTCTTGTCGCAGGCAAAGTAAGCCTGAATGGCCTGGTCGCGGTCAAAGCCAAGACGACAAAGCTGGAGACGAGTCAGTCGGTAATCCTGAAAGTAAAACATAGAAGGGAAGACATACGCGCTCGATGGCATCCCGCTCCTCCTCGGTGACACTAATCGCCTGGGCGCCGGGGGGCAGGGGCACATCATCATCGACATCCTCGCCGAGCAGACTCAGGAATTGGTCAGGGTTGTTAGCGATCAATTGCGCGAGCTGAGGGTTGCCGGCACCGAGTTGTTGGAGAATGGGCTCAAGCATCTGGGGTTGCTGCTGAACGACCTGGCGGAGCTGCTGGAATTGCGCGTTGTTCCGCAGGAAGTCCAGGTTGCCGAAGCCTCCACCTTGAGCAGCGGCGGCGGCGGCAATGCCAGCAGCAGCAGCACCAGCTCCGGCACCTGCAGCAGCAGCGGCACCAGCACCAGGGCCACCGCTGCCACGTCCGCTGCCACCCCGCTGCTGAGCCGCAAGATCAAAGAGGTTCACGTTGCCGTCATCGCCTGCATTGTCGCCACCGGCAGGCTGGGCGGGAGCGGCGGCGGGAGCGGACGGCGCCTGGCGCTGCTCCTGCTCACGCTGAGCGTCCTCGGGGATGCCCTGTTTTGCATAGTCAGTGCCTGATCCCTCAAGCCCTCCAGCCGAAACTTACCGTCAGTAGGTATTCAACAGCACGGTCGGGGTTGTAAAACGCAGCGCGCAAGGCAGCGTCGATCTGGGAGCGCTCAAAGCCCATGGCCTCCATGTTAGCGACAACCTCGGCACGCTGAGCGCCCATGGCCATCGAAGGGTCAGTGGGCGCGCCATCGCCACCAGCGCCAGCCCTAGCGGCGGGGGTCGGGGTCGAAGGCACGGCGGCCTGGGTCGAAGCCTGAGGGGCGGCAGGGACAGCTGGGGTCGCGGCAACAGGCTGCGCCGGGGTCGAGGGCACAGCGGATGAGGAGGCAGCAGGTGCGGCAGGCTTGGCTTTGGGCTGCGCAATGGTTAGCCGACAAGGGTTTCGTGGATGGAAAAAAGCATTGATGCCAACCTTCTGGATCATGCAGACGACGAATCCCTTCTCCTCGATCTTGTACGACTCAACAGTCTCCTCGTCCTTTAGGATCTTGCCTGGATTAGGTCAGCGCAAATTGTTGCACAGCGAGGAGGTTGCAGCACGTCGTGAGAGCCGAGCCGCGGTCGCATACCAGAGTAGATAAGCTTCTGCTCCTTGGCATCCCATCCCTTCTCTTCGGAGATTCTTTGCTTCACAGTAGAGATCTAGGCAGGGGTTAGCTTTGGCCGGGTCAACAGAGAGGGGTCAAGCTTCGGCTCTGATTTTGATCGGTGTGCGGGGGGCAGAGGACGTACGAGGTCGGTGGGTTCGACTTCAAGCGTGAACTTGTTCTGCTTGAGGTCCTGCACGTTGGGTTAGCGCTCGTTTCTTTTCCATAGCAGGGCAAACGGCGTCGACATGGCGGCGACAGAGGAAGAGCTTGGGCGGGTGGCGGGGATGAGGATAGCTTCCATACCTTAAAGGTGACCTTCATCTTGGCGACGGGGGCAGGGTGCAGCTCGGAGCTACAGAGGTCGGTGGGAGAAGGGGAGGTGAGTCGGCTCGAGGTGACGCTGGGACGGCGAAGAAGGGCCAGCAGTCTGCAATGCAGGATATAGGGTGGTGTTGTTAGGGTTGTTCCCGGCAAGGCGCGAAGAAGTTTGTTTATGCGGGTAGGTGGGTGGGTGAGGGAAGATGACGAAGTGAAGGGCAACCTGGACTGGAGGTCCCTCGACTGGTCTGGTGCAGAAGGAGCCAGCGGGGCCTCGAGCGGGAAGGTGGGGTTTGGGGGCTTTCCTTCTCACCGGTTGCCTAAACGGTGCGAGGGAGGAGGCCTGGTGTGGCGGTGCACGTGAAGCTTTCCCCGACACCATCACTGCACACAAGTAAACAACATCACAATGATTTCAAAACCTGGGACCTGTGTCATATCATTGATTTCTTCTTGATCCTCTCCGACTTGATCTCTCCGAGGTTTTTGCAGGCTTCCAGCGTCTACCTCATGATTTTCCTTTCCTCTCTAACCTCGCCATTTCGACCCGCCTCTTTCAACGCCTCGCTGAATCATAAATAACAAATGGTATCTCTCTTTAAGTAGTGCCCGTTCCTCAGGCCATCTTTCCCTGCCTGCCTTCCCTTCCTGACAAAGAAAATGAACATGTATCATGACGATGAGCCTTCGTCCAACGAATGGCTCGGGAACTCTTCTGCCTGGTGAAACCAGCCATCACAGGTCTCCGCCGCTGCTGTATCTCGCTCAGCAACCGGGGTCGGCATCGATCCTGAATTTGCGGCTCTGGTACCCGGTGAGGCTTGACCTGGATCCAGCGGTCAAGATCCACTCGGGGATGGGCGGCGTCATCTTGCGCTCGCTGGGCGACTCGAGTTCGCTCTGCTCCTCGACCTCGTCCTGCTCATTGACTGACGACGAGGGCAGGAACTCAAAGCTGCTCTGGTGGCTGAGTGGCGACTGGCCGTTCGCGAGGCTGCTGCTTCGCATCCGGCGGACGCTCTTCCGGTCGGAGATGACCTGGCCTGCATTGGGCGACGCGACGACGACGGTGCCGGGCGTGACGTTGGGCGGCGGCACCGGCGAGTCGGAGCGGAAGAGGGGGTGGATGTTGGCCTCGCCCGAGCCCTCGAGCTCGGGCGAGTTGCTCTGCGGCCGCCTCGCCGGGCTGAAGCTCCTGCTCCTGCGCCGCACCGGCGGCGGCGGCACCAGGTCGAGGGGAAAGCCGGGGCTGGTGCTCCTGCTCGTCGTCGGGCTGGCCGGGATTGTCTCGAGCAGACGCGGGGGTGCGACCGGCGAGGCGGTGCCCAGCACCGTCATACGGTTGTGGAGGTCCACGGTTGACGTGTCCCATGAATCAAAGCTGTCCTCGCGGATCGAGTGCGAGTCCGTCGAGTGCCTGTATTTCTCTCTTGTGGACAAGAGACGCGTCTTGGACGTCACTGGTCGGACGACGTGGGACAGGGACGACCGGAACGAGCTCATCGTCTCCGTCGCCGATCGGCCGCTGCTCGACTGCGGCGGCGACCTCGAGTCCATGGAGATGGTGTCTCTGGTGCAGATGGGGGTCGGCGACGTTTGGCTATAACGGATGGACTTGACGTGCATCTGCGGCAAGCGGCGAGGCTCGTCAGCGTGGCGCAGGCCGCCCCTGTGGTGCGGCACAGGCGCCCAGACGAAGTGGAGGATGATAAAGATGATCTGGCAAGCAAAGGAAAGACCGAGGACAGTGGAGGATCCCACGAGGAAGCTGTTCTGATCGGCACCCATGACAGAGTGGGGGAGGTCGGACGCCGTCTTGCTCAAGCAAACGACGGCAGCTATCGATGCGGCTGTGGCGACGACACAGGCCGCCAGACTGATGCCGAACACGACGACCGGGCTCCGTGACGAAACCGCCCGGGCGGTGAACACGTACCTCGAGTACGACCATGCCAGGATGATGAGCACGAGACCTTCCAAGGCCGCCGACACGCCAGCGGCGGCCTGGACAGGGGATGTGCGAGAGATGTGCGTGGCGAGCACAATGTGGACGATCAATATGGCAGCCGTGGCAAGGAGGGCGACGGTACCGATCACCAGCGGTAGAGCCCGAAGGAAGCTCATCGTGACGGGTGTGCTGTCAAAGCAATACAGATGAATATGGTGTGGAGGTACAAATAGTGACGCGACTTGTCAGTCAAGACAGGCTATAGGTATGTCCCAGTCCGGGGGATGCGGCGCCTTGGTGTTGGTGGTGTAGAGAAGTAAAGGCGGAGACTGAAGGCCCTCGCGGTTCCGAAGTGAAGGTTTGTATTGGTGTTGTTGGCGGACGGCTCAAGAGCTGTATACATGGGAAGAAAGTGGTGAGTTGTTCCTCTTGGGATGGTCGACGACTGGGCCGGGACTCGAATGTAGTGGGTTTAACGTATTGGTGGAGGAAAAGACGGGATGCCAGGCCTCCAGGTGCGTGGTGTGAGTGGCTGGGCGTGAGCGAGTGTGAGCGAAGTAGAGTTGAAGCGAAGGACAGTAGGATGTTTCAACCGCCGGAGGTCCGCACTATGAGGCCTGGGGAAGAGGTGATCTCGGGGGAAGCAAGAATGAGAAATGACGAGCGAAGCTGGCAGTGTAAGAGGGAAGCTGGGGGTCATTGATTAAAGTAGGTATCCCAATGTCGTGGGCCACGCCTTTTTTCTCGGCTGGGAGCATGGCAGCTTGGATGTTGCTTGTCCTTGTCCACCTTTTTCTCCTCCTCCTCCTCCTCCTCCTCCTCCTCTCTTCTGCTTCTTTTTGCTCCCTCCCTTTCCCGTGAGTACCTTGACCCGGCTCTGGGTGTGGTGGGGGGAGGGGGTGTGCATCGCGTTTCCACCCAGAGCGCAGCAGCCCAGATGCAGGAGGATCGAGAGTTACGCACACACCTCTTCCACCACGACCGCCTGGCCCACGGTTTTCTCACGACGGGGTGGTGGACCGCCCTGGTGGAGGTGCAAGGATCATGGCGATACCGCGGTGGGGGCATCTGGAGCGAAGCTGCGAAACACCGACCGACATCCCTGTCCGTGCTGGCGCAACCCAGGCCTGGTTCTGGATGGTGTGCTGCAGGGTGACGAGAGAGTGTCCTCATGGCAAAGGTAAAAACAGCACAATCGCAGCGGACAAGAGGGCCAGAAGCGCATGGGAAGACACCATGGCAGATTGCGAATCATGGAAAGGATTGGGAAATGATCGCGTGGTCGACGCGACGGCGACGCGAAACGAGACACAACAGTCCAATGGTCCAACAGCCAACGAGGAGCCGTTGCAGCTCGGCGAGCACCAATGCTGGAGCTAGAAGCTGCCGTACATCATCGCAATCTCGAGTATCCCCCCAATGGGCTTTGATGCAACTCTGCGCCGTTGGGGCGTGTGTGTGTGTGTGTGTGTGGTACCGACAGATGGCCAAGGAGAGCCTCGCTACCGACGACATGGGTTGCTTCTCGAGGAGAGCGAGCCAGCCAGCTGAGCACGCAAGCCTGCTGCTTGCTCGCTACCTTGACCTCACTGTGCAAGCCAGAGAAGTAAGGTTCGCATCGACCGGTCTTCGAGTCAAAGTGAGCACCTCATTGTCGCCTGATTCCAGACAATAGTCTGCCGGCTACGACATGGCATGACTCTGGCCTGCCTATCTGCCTTTTCGCATGCATGTGTATTACCTGCAAGAACCAGCCCTTGTCTTGTGTAAGCCAGATCCAGACTCTGAACTGCCACCACCACCATCACCACCACCACCACGATGACGATACCCAAGGCGTTTGTTTTTTTTCTTTCGCTCTTCTGGCTTGCCCAAATTCTGCCCTCGCTCGTGAGCTTCCCCTCTTTCTTCATCTCCGAAACGATTTAGTGCAAAGGTCGGCGACGCCATTAGACAATTTGCGCCATGGTCAGCTCCGTCCGATGAAGCCTCACATGTCACCTCTTTTTCCCTCTTTCATAACACGGGTTTGTTTACTTGCGGCCAGAAGCGGACTGACACCGTTACAAGCAGTGGGTTCTTAGGTCGTGAGAGGGGGAGCGCCCCTCCGCACCGAGAGCCAGCCTCATCCCAGTTCCCAGTTCATAGCCGGGTTAGCCCCATCTCTTACCGCAGCGAAAGCCTCCCTCAACCCGCCCACCCGCTCGCTCGCTTGCTCGCCCCCAGGTCTTCCGTGCGCATTGTTGTTTTGTTGTTTATTTACAATGCTGTGTTATCACCATGGGACAATGGGACAAGGGAGGGGGGAGAGAGGGCGAGAGAAAGAGAGCAGAGCTTTATTTTCTTGTACTGCATGCATAGTCAGCAAAAACATGGCGCATGCGATCAGCTCTCTGCACGAGCTCCAGCCAGAAGCGGGAGCCCGGATGTCGAGCTTGGTCTGCGTAGTACATAGTAGATGCAGCCGCCTGCCTCTCTACCTTAATTAATGTAAGGTAAGGTACGGTACCTGACGAGGTATGGGGGCAGGATCGGCCGGAACCCTGGCCATGATCAGAGTTTTTTTTTTCTTCCGTCATCCTCAAGGAAGCAAAATGAAAGGTCTTCGCCCAGTTGCACCCAATTGACCCGGCTGCACAGAGGCTCATCATCAGAATCCCTGCTCATGGGAGGGATGTAGGGGCCAATGGAAGAGGAGGGGGGCGTAGAGGGGCTGTGAGAGAGAGAGGAAGATCCGGAACTGCCAGAAGCAACGCACATGTGCCAACGAGCCACAAGCTGTACGCCATGGTCATGCAGGCCCCCCTCAGCATCTGCCGGTGCCGTCGGCTTCTGGCACCCACCACACCCTCTTGCCGGTGCGCATCTGCTTCTCTGTTGTCCTCCCAAGTCTGGGCAAAGTTGGCAGCGAAGAGGGGCCCATCGACGGCTTCAAGGTGGGACTCGTCGTGGTCTTGACAGATTGTGGGGAGGAGGTAATTTTGCGTCCTTGTTTTCATATACGCCCCTCCTCTCGGCTTCGTTGAGTACCTAAGCGGGAGGGGAAGCCTGTCGCCTGCTGGCATCTTGAGGTCAATACTGACATGTAGCTCGAGGGGTCATGCTTGTTTTCCTTGATGTCGTCGGTTCGGCGACATCCTCTTCTCGGTAAAGGAGCGAGGTCGGCTATGTTCCAGACATTTGATGTATGCCGTGGTCCTCTCTGTTCACCTGTTGCATGACAGCTGAAGCAGCAACGGCACAACACGACGGGATGAAGGGAGGGAGCTGGGCCCCTTCCCCAGGTCCAGGGTAGACAGGCAGGGGGAAATGGCCTCCTGGGGGCGAAGCTGCGACATACAGACAATAACGACAGGCCATCAAAAGAAAGTAATTGAGAGAAGGAAGACGGCGTCTTCGATTGGCTGATGGAACATCACCAGTGTCTCATAGGCCGGCGGCCAGGGGGATGGGGAGTTAAGGGGTCAGACAGCTAGGTAGAGGGGACAGCTTGCGTCCCAAGCTCCCCTGATGGCAGCGTGGCATTCGCACGAGCAATGAATGAATGAATGGGGTGACCTCGTCGGACCCTGCTCCGACTATCAACCCGCGCTACAGTACACATTCGCCGATTTGTGCCGATGATGGATGAAAGCGCGCACAGCTTTTTCCCCCTTCCTCTCCGCGCCGCTCACCCATCTTGTGGAATCATTCGGATGAGTCAAGGGCACTGGACGGCAGATGGTGGCAGCGACCCTGAAGCGATCAAGGTGAGACAAATCGCCGTACCGCACCGCAGCGCACCACACCACCACCCAGTCCTGCTACTACACCTACACCATCCAGGTGAGGGCCTGGTTGGGTCGTCCGCGGGGCCAGCCTGCACTCTTGATTTGCTCGACTCGGGGCAGTCCGGTACCTGCATGTAGGGCTCAGATGGAGCTCGGCCTTGTGCGAGGCGCTGGCTGGATGTGAAGAGGGTGGGACTCGAGGCAGAGCTGGTCACTGACGTCGTCCACTAACTACCTCAACCTAGCCGTGGAGACAGTTGTTGGGTTCTCACTCCGCTGTACCCAGTATTTCCAGAGTCGAGACCGTTCTCTCACCTGTCGGCCCTCTGTTTCGGCTGGGAAAGGGCCTGCAAGTCATGGTTCCGATCATCGTCATTGGGACAGGGCCTGCCTCATATGGTGGGAGCCGAGGGCACGGCACGGGCAGAAAGGCCTGGGAAAATTCTTGGTCATCTTCCCCCGAGGCACCGTTTCGATGACGATCGATTTCGATTCGGGAAATGATGAGAGGCGTTGTATAAATGAATTGCCGAACTAGATAGGCTCCAAAGCCTGCTTGACAGCGCCTGACATGACTTGACATGTCCCGTGGGACAAGCTTCGGATCGAGAGAGAGACACACGCCCTCCCTGTCCTCCGGGGTAAGGTACCTTAGGCAGGGCGGCGCGACCAAATGGAGAAAAGGCCATGTGCAAGACGAAGAAGGTTAGGGCACGGCGCAAGTAAGTAAAATTGACAAAGGTGAGCCGTTCGTCAGGGCCCCGCGCGAAGCAAGGACGGAAACCATTGATGCACGACAGATTGATGAAAGAACCGATCCATCGGCCTCCGCTTTCTGCCCTGCAGATGTTCCCGACGAATTACTTGCACACAACAAACAAACAACGCAGTCGAGCCAGCAACCCAGGGTTTAGTCCCGTCGCTGGGAAACACAACATCTGAGCTTGAACTGAGGACGCCCCGTCCCGCCAGTGCGGTAGTTTCAGAAAAGCGAGGGAGCTAGAACACCGAGGAGATCAGAGCGCGCCTGGGTCCTGTCTTTCTGCTGTCTGCTGTACTGGACGGTCAGGGCTTCTCCTTCTGGATGTTTGACTCGCGCTCGTCCTCGTCGCAGTTTGACGAGACATGATCAAATCGGATTTCGTCGAAGGAATGGATCGCAGCACCCACGTGTGATTTTCCCTTTACGTCTGACTTTCTTCACATACACGCCCGATCCTGTTGGCTCGGGGTACTACTCAGATTGCTTTCCCTATCTGCTTACCTTCTTGATTTCCCCCTGATGTAACGCTGGCCCTTCCCCGGCGCACGGATCCTTGCTCAACGTAGCCATCGTCACGAGTCAAGGACCACACCAGTTCAGATGGCAGAGAATAGAAGCACAGGCGCGCTGCCAGGTTGTCAAA